ATATATATATATATTTTACCATAATAATATTTTAGTTTGTGAAATTAACATTACAACTAATTATTTAATGTAACTAAATTTATAATAAATAATATTTTTTATTGTATATATCATAATATTATTAAAATTTATAATAATAAATAATTTAAACATATAAAGTATATTTTATATTTATGATAAATATTTCATGTTGTGACACAAAATTATTTTTAATTATTGATAATGTCTTAGTAAAAATAATTGAAAGTAAAAACTAAAATTATATATTTAACAAGATAAGAGGTTAAAAAATTATTGAAATAAATAAAAGATTGATTAAATATGAATGACTATCTTATATTAGAGTATTTTTTTTATATTATTCTTTAATGACAACATTTTAAAGAAAATTTTTAATTTATTATCTAATTCAATTTTTATTTATCATATTTATTTAATATTTTAAAAATAATTATCAATAATTAAAATAACCTAATATCATATTATAGATTATATATCTAAAATCTAAAATATAATTTATATATTTAAAAATATTTATTTATATAAATTATAAATATAATTTATATATTCAAATGTAAATTTTTTTAGATATAATTCTTTTAGTTTATTGAAAATTGCTATTAGTAAGGTATCTCATTTTTTTAGATGAGTATCACTTAGAAAGATTTATGAGATTGAAAGGTGCTAGTTATCACAACAATTCTTATTTGATTCTCACAAGATGGACTTTTAATCTCACCATGTTTATCATATAATTGCTTTGGAGAGTTGAAGACTTTAAATGTAATAAGCTACCAATTATTATAGTTATAAAACTAAGAAATCATAAGAAAATATTATTTATGCTATATTTTGAGCTTCTTTTTTTTTTTTAATCTTTTACACCTTTTCTTTTACTTTTTTTATATTTCCACGTCATTTTTTTTATGTTACTCTAATTTATATAAGTCATTTTATTTTAAACCGTTAAATTGATTAAATTTGTTTATTTTATATTGACCCAAGAAAATATTTACTTTATTTTAACTAAAAAAATGTAATTGGTATTATAATTATGACAAAAATTGTATTTTTCCTAAATAATATATTTTTGAATTGAAAAAATAAAAATACTGTACATGTAATAGTGTGATGAAGAAGAGAGAAAAAAATACTTTTTATTTTGAAAATAGAAAGGTTAGCGACCGATTTTGCAATGACAAATTTAGTTTCTTAGATATACCAAGATAGGTCATTCGGATTTTAAATATTTTATTTTAAATAAATACTTATAATTTAGCAACCGATTTAGTGATGAATATTAGTCGACAGTTTGATCCCCATTAATGAAGGTAACCAATATGATAGCGATTGAATAATTGTATATTAGCGATCGAAGAGTTTAGTCACAACTTAGCTACAGAGATCATTTTGATTGTTAAAGGGCTTAGAGACTAGACTTTTAACGATTGATGAGTATTTGTTGCTAAGCCTTTTTGCGACTAATTTACTTAATTTAGCAACCAAATTTAATGGTTGCTAAATGATTTTTTTAGCGTTGTTAGGGAGAAGATTTGTGGTGTATTTCAATCAAAAGAGTTTGCGTCATTTACTATAGCAAATGATCACCACATCTGACCAACAATGTTGGATGGCCAATCTCTTTGGATACCACTTTGATATTGTTTACAAGCCTAGTCTTGAAAACAAAGCAGTCAATGCTTTGTCATGAATGTATAAGGAGGAACAACTGGGGGATATTAATTCAACCCCATTATGGGTTCAAGATCAAGAAGTGAAGAAGGAAGTGCAAAATAATTCCTTCTTAAATATGTCATTGTTGATTTACTCCAAGATCCCAATTCTAGACTGAATTTTGGTTGGTAGTAGGGCACTCTACTTTATAAGAATAGTTTGGTCTTGTCATTTAACTTTTTTTTACATTCCCTTGCTTTTAGAAGAATTTCACTCATCAACAATGGGGGACACTCTAGATTCTTGAGAACTTATAGAAAAATTGTTGCAATTTATATTGGTTGAGTATAAAGAGAACTATTCAAGATTTTGTGTGAGTATGTGATGTTTTCAAAATACAAAAAAAAATATTCAGCTTCTTCCCCTATTGGACTGTTATAACCTTTGTCGATT